ACCCTAAACAGGGTCGCTAGGAGCTGGAACCAACTTGACGGCACTTAATAGGCAATTAACATCAACAACAACAACAACACTTAACAGCACAACACAGCAAGTATTAACCAACGTATGATTCTCTCCTGTTTTTTATTGCTGTTGCTGGGTGTCATGGAGTCAGTTCTCACTCTCAGCAACCCTGTACAGTGTTTCCAAAGAGTGGCTGGTGAGTTTGAACAGCCAACCTTGTGGTTCAAACCAGCCTTGCAGTCCAGTGCTTTATTCCACAGCACTGAATCAGGACTGGCTGGTCCATTTAGTATAAAAAGGAGAAAAGGGGACGACCTCGCCATTTTAAGGTCATCTTCACTCTCATTCCTACTGTAATCTGAGGGCAAGGGAGAGAAGACATACATCTGGATTGAGTCATCTGGATGACTCTGGTTTTAACACACAAAAGGCAAAGATACACGTGCATCTAAAATCAGACAATGGAGTCTCCTGTCTGAGTAAATTTTGATCATTCATAGCTCTTGTAACCAAATGGAGCTACTGAATGAAGGACTGCCACATTGATTGTTCCATTTCCAGCTCTGAAATCATTGATTACAGCAGAAAACACAGAAAGGGTCATCCAGGGAGATTCTGAGTGAACTATCAGTTCAGTCTAGAGGGTCACCCCACCATATGTTGCCACCTGAAAACACGCTCAAAGCCAAAATGATAAAACGAAATGATGGAGGAACAAAGTGAGGCTTTCGGTAAGCTCCTCTTCTGCTCACTGAAGTGGTCAACATAGCCAAAACCTCAAAATTAAACCTAGCAAATAGCTAAGTGATTTCCCCATACACACACACCAAAATCTTTGGCATATGAAAGATTATAAAAAACTGCCTTGAAGCTGGAGTTTTTTGCTTTACTGAAATATACAACGGATAATACCATGACTTCAGCTTCAGTGCATCTAAATCTTAAGAAATCAAAAGCTTGTGGACTCTCCATTTGACCTGTTAGGAATGATAATCCAATTAGTATCCCTCTTTTTGAGATGTAGATACTTGGTGAATAGCTGATAACGAAAATTAGCAAGAAAAAAGGAAAATAAACCAAATTGCTAAGAGGGCAACATGCATAATATAAACATCATTCAGAAAGAAAACAAACAACCAACCTGCTTACAGACTTTATGATCAACATTCTACCCAAGAAGGATGTATTAAAACAAACTTCCCCCAAAAGGCCAGACCCAATCCAGAAAGATCAAGATGGCAATTTCTAATCCAATGTATGAAGCTTTTACTTCAGCTACTTGAACTTGATATATGTTTTTCTCAAATTAAAGGCAATTCAAAACTACAATGCTAACAAATCATAGGAATGTTACACAGAAACAGAAACCAAATTCACAAACCTGACTTTTTTGCCAAAAAAACCCATGTGGTTAATAAACCAAGCAAACAGACTTAAGTCACTATACTACCTGAACCCATCATGATAAGAAGGTTGAGGGTTAAATTGTTTTCTTTTTTTAAAAAAGATGGGTCAAGGTTGATTCCGATTTGATAGTCTCCAATCAAAAGGAGACTCTGGTAGTGTAGTGGTTACCAATTGGGCTGTGAACCGCAAGGTCAGCAGTTTGAAACGACCAGCTGCTCCACAGGTGAAATACGAGGTTTTCTGCTCTCATAAAGATTTAAAGACTCAGAAACCCTGTTCAGGGTTCCTATGGGTTGGAACCGACTCAATGGCCAATAACAACAATCAAAATTAGTGGAGTTCTGGTGTGACGCTGTGGGTTAATGCGCCAGACTGAAAAGCTGTTAGAACTGCAAGGTTGGCACTTCAAGCTCACCAGCTTCTCCTCAGAAACTCTATACAGGGTCGCTATGGGTCGGAACCAACTTAATGGCACTTCAAAACAACAGTCAAAACCAGAGTCCTGGTATGGTGCCGGAGGATAAGCACTCAATCACAAGGTGGGTCTGAACTTCAGGGTCGGTGGTTCAAACTCACTAGATGCTCCTTATAAACCTACAGCATCACTATGAGCTGGAACCAACTTGATGGCATTTAAACAACCACAGTCCAAACCAGACAGCCAATAGTATTCCTTCCTATATTTCCACAAATATTTATTGAGGGCTTATTGTATGTGCAAGGAGCCCTGGTGTAGTGATATAGGATAAAGTCAGTGGTTCAAATCTATCTGCCACTCCTCGGAAACCCTATACAGGGTCGCCATGCGTGTGAACAACTCAACACTTCACACCATTATGTACAAGACATTCTGTCACACGTGTGCAAAAACCAAACCAGTCAGCCTGCCCTAGTAGAGTGCCTTGACACCAGCCCCGAAGGCACTTTTAGTGAGGGAGTCAAGGAACCCATAAATGTGGGAGCCTTGGGGAAAAGCCCAAGGTACTTTGAAAACCTGGAGTGGAAGAAGACTATCTAGAGGTCAGGAATCGGAGTTTGTTGTGAAGTGCCATTGAGTCAATTCCGACCCAGAGCAACCCTGTTTAGGGTTTCCAAGGAGCAGCTGGTGAGCTCGAACTGCCAACCTTGCAGTTCAAACGGCTTTGCAGTCTGGCGCATTAACCCACAGCGCCACACTGGGACTCTAAGTGGAGTGAAAGTTACATGCTGAGTCATTCTTAATTGGAGAGCCCTTCTGAAACAACTGAGGTCTTTAAAACCTGAGTCATAATTTCTGCTTATATAATGAAATTACAAACAGCACATTTTCCAAGGATACATGTAAGCGTATTGATTTCTCTCTAAAGTGATAACTGGGCAACATGCCCACCAGGTTCAATGAGATTCTGGACATCATTTAAATGCCTAGAACAAGTAGCCTGGCTTTTTTAAGATGGCGGTGAGTTGGACCAATAAAACTATAGAAAAAGGATAAAGAAAAGAGGATGGAAGGAATGTTTTAACACAAAAGGACTCAGATCTACTGGAAATGGAAATAAATGCCATATTCAAGGGTGATCAGTCAGTAAGAAGGGGGGGTAGTAAAAGTCAATGGGGAGAAAACATGTTCCTCAACTGTTTTAAAATTAAACCTTAAAATGACTTCCACCTCTGGCTATAGTTATTTTGATACTAGTTGGCATCAAAAAGGGAACAATTACCCAGGGACAAAGCTCAGAAGGCAGGGAGAGATAAGAAAGGAGGTTGAAGGGAAATGGTAAACACAGGGAGAAAGAGGGAGAGTGTGGTTTACATTGTGGGGTTTACCTTAGTGTCGGGAAATAAAATGTGTGTATGAATCATTGAATGGAAAACCACTTTGTTCTGTACACTTACACCTAAATCACAATTAAAAAAAACACAAACGAAAACAAAAATGATGTTCAGTAATACTAAAATATTAGTCCTCAGAAAGCTTAGGCACAATTAGCACATAATACATATATGGCACTACAGGTTAATATATTGGACAGCAATTCCAACCCATAGCGACCCTGCAACCCTGTATAGGGTTTAAACTCACCAACTGCTCCTCAGAAAACCTATATAGGGTCACTATGAGTCCGAGGAGTCCTGTTGTGGTGCTGTGGGTTAATGCGCCAGACTGCAAAGCCGTTTGAACTGCAAGGTGGGTGGGTGGTTCAGGCTCACCAGTCACTCCTCGGAAACCCTATATAGGGTTGCTATGGGTCAGAACTGACTCGATGGCACTTAACAACATGAGTCTGAACCGACTTGGCAGCACTTAACACCAAAGGAGCTATAGGATAAGCACTGGACTGGTAACCACAAGGTTGGTGGTTCAACCCCACGAGCTGCTCCTTTGGAAACCTTGGAAAATAGAGTTGCTTTCGGTTGGAACTGGAAACAACTCGACAGCACTTAACCTACAGTCTGGGGACCAAGGATCTTATGAGTAGTTATGTATTAAACGCTGGACGCAAACTATATTATTAAAGATGTGTCTCAGCCCAAATTAGACTAAGGCAGGTAAAGAGGTCAAGGGAATGAAGTCATGTGAAGTGTGCCTACATTTCAGGGTTTTATTATTTTTTTGGGGGGGGTAGGGTCACACTGGAAAAATCTCTCCTGAGATTATTTTTGTTGTTGTTAAGTGCCAAAGCAGGTGGGGAGACGCCCTGTTTCATAAACACACACGCTGGAAAACAGATCTAAAATACAACGATCACGCCAAGTCACAACACTGGGGGCTGCAGTGGCCCAGAATCAGTTAATAGTCAGCCTTAGAGATTTAGGACTATTAACATGCGGCATATTTCTAGGCTGTGTCCGACTCCGTACCGCCTCCATAGAAAAGACAACACGGAATGCTTGCTTATGCCTCTGACCACATCCTTCGAGAACTTCTAACAACGACTCCAGTATTTGTTTATCCAACTGAGTCCAAAGACAACGAACTGAACCAAAGGGTGGACGCTGACTTGTTTGCGAAACCTGTCACTGCTTTTGAACCGGCGGCGTCCACGCAGGTTTGCTTCAACTGCTCGCGGGCCACACCACACGCTGTCTGCATCACGAAGGAGGTGTCTGCTCGCTCAGCTGCCGCAGGAGGACGACTGGGTACCAACCTGGTCACTCCTAGCACAGCTGGCACCTAGGGTAGGGCGCGGCGAGGGAATCCGAGTGGCCCCAGCCCACCGCTCACTTTCTACCTCCCTAATGAAAGGATAATGGGTGGGTGGGGGGCGATCCTCTAGCTACCGGGCCCTGGGGTCGTTCTCCACGGGCTGCCCCACGCAGCCCGGCTGAATCAGGCTGGGTCGCTCTCACAGGAAGAGTGTGCAGAAAGGCTTGTCGGTGGGCAGGGACGGATTTTATGACTGCGGATGGCTCAGTCACCGCCCCTGGGGACCCACGACAAAGATGAAAGCCCCCTGGCGCACAAGACTCAGAAAAGCCCAGAAAGAGGGGTCTGTGCGCCCAAGTTGGCAGCTGAGCTGGCCAAGGCGTGAAGTTCTCGCTGGAGAAAATCAGGGAAACCCCCGCCCCAACCCCAGGGCAGGTGGCCCGCACGCCGGTACCTTTGTAGTGGATTCCGCGACTGGGTCCCCCGCCGCGCCCGGCGCCTCCTCCGCCGAGTGGCCGCCTCCGCTGGACTCGGGCTCAGCCAGCGGCGCGCTCCCCGCCTCGGGCTGCTCCGGGCTGCGCTGCTCGCTGGAGCTACCGGCGCCCATGGCTTCTCGGTGTTTCTCCCGCTTCCAGCCGCCTGGTTACGCCTCCCTGGAATCGTAGGGACGAGCAAGGAGACTTGCACCAGGCGAGGTCCCACGCGCGTCTTCCTCTCCTTCCTGCTTCCTCCAGCGCGCCGGGACTGCGAATGAAGGAGACGCGCTCGCGGCAAACTCCTTAAAAGAAAAGAAAAAAAAAAAGCCACCTCGTAGCCTCCTCCCCTCCCCTTGTTTTTCCCTCGCCTCATCACATGAGCGCAGCCCCAGACACGCCTTGCAGCAGCGTCTCCCTAGGCTGCTAGGACTCGAGGCGCAGCGACGACGCGCTCCAGCCGAGGTCCCGGGGCAGCCCACCCCGACCTCACCCACCCCCACCCCCGGGCGCCTTCGCCCTCATAAAAGGGAACCAGGGCCGCGGGAATGAGCAAGGGTTGCAGAAGGTGAGGGGTAGGGGGAGGGCCTGGAAAGAAGGAGAGCAGAAAGCCTCCCGGGGACATTGGATTCACTGGCTTTTATTAAATGATTGATAACTCAAGACGCTTCTGCTGCAGCCGCCTTCCAGCTAGCTCCGAAGCGAACCCAAATCCCCATTTGTTTTCCTTCACATTGTGTTTTGACTCTCAACATTTGGTCCAAACGCCGCATTCTCAGGAGAAAAGCCAGCGTTCCTGGAGTCCTCCGGAGGTTGACCATATTAGGGCACCTCCCTTGGCCGGAGCTGGGAGCGGAGAGGTTAATGCAGACAGACCATGCAGGAGGTGAGCCCCAAGCTCTCCCTTCGTCCGGAACAAGTGATGTCAGCCGATGCCATCAGCAAGACTAGCCGCCTTCTTTCCTTGGGGAACGTGGGGAAATGAGGCCGTTACCGGAAATGTCCCTGTAGTAGAAGCTAGAGGTTACCAACCAGGCCACTCCTGCCTCGTGTGATGCTGAAAACTGATCTTTGAGCTCTGATTTTCTATCAGTATTTGTCAGCAAATGGAGGCTTTCAAGTCTCAGTCTTAAGTGGCTTGCGTTTTGCCCCATCATGAATGTAATATTTATTATATGAACTTAACAGACCGCCAATAAACATTTTTAGCTGGATTATTTAGTACACAGTAAGAAGGTGGCTTAGTCCAAAAGACGAAAACAATACGAGTTTACCTGGTCATTAAGTGCCTTGGTTTTTCACAGGTATTTGGACTCACTCACTAACAATGAAGAAGAACCTTTTGGAATGCCAAATAAATATCCCATACAAGTAGACAACATATGCAATAGTAAAACACTGGAATATTTTGTATCTAATTAATTGTCAGTATTATAATAGCACTTTGAGAATCGTAGATTTATTATCCAGCATAAACTTGCTGAATTTACTATAATTACTTGAAGTTACACACAAAGAATTACACGAAGTCCAATTTCTCAGGATTTTATCCCTTAGAAAGCAGCAAATTTCCACAATGCATGGTTTTAGAGATTTGTAAGTATTTCACCCATTTTGACTTAAATTTTGACTATTCTAGAACTTTTGGGGGTCCTGTTGTTGCTTTGTAGGCTAAGCACTGGGCTTAAAGCACTAACCACAAACTTAGTGCTTTAAACTCACCAGCTGCTCCTTGGAAGCCCTATACAGGGTCAGGGGTGGATAAGTAAGAACTGGCTCACTGGCTTGTAACAAGAAATATTTGAGGTCTTTGCACCAGGCCCTGTCCAAAGCAGTTTATGTGTATTTAATCCTTACAACAGCCCAAAGGAGAAGGTAGTCCTGGTGGCACAGTGGTTTAGTAATCGACTGCTAATCAGAAGATCAACAGTTCAAACCCACCAGCCTCTCCACAAGAGAAAGATGTGTCAATCTGCTTCCATAAAGATTACAGCCTTGGAAAACATACGGGACAGTTCTGGTGTGGTGCTGTAGGATAAGCACTGGACCGCAAGGTCGGTTTGAACTTTAAGGTCAGCGGTTCAAACCCACCAGCTGCTCCTTGGTTGCTGTAAGTTGGAACCGACTCAACAACACTTAAGGAGCTCTGGAAGCGTAGTGGTTACGAATTGGGCTGTGAACCGTGAGGTCAGCAGTTTGAAACTGCCAGCTGTTCCACGGGAGAAAGATGAGGCTTTCTGCTCCCAGTAAAGATTTACAGCCTTGTAAATCCTGTACAGGGTCACTATGAGTCACAACTGACTCCACGGCACACAACAACAACAGCACTTAACAACATCAATGTTCTGAGTCAAAATTGACCTGATGGCAATGAGCTTGGGTGTTTTGGTTTTGTTTTTATTTTACTAGTACAAAGGCTCCCTGGTTGGCAGAATTGGTTACATTTGGCAGTTCCATTCCACCCAGAGGCCCTTAGTATTAAAGACCTAGGGAGCCCTGCTTCTGAAAGCTCTCTGGAACAGTTCTACTCTGTACACGTGGAGTTGTTATGAGTAGGTTTTTTTTTTTGGTTCAGTGTTGATTTTTTTGCCATTTGTGCCCTGAGTCTCTTCTGACTCAGCCACCCCCACATAGTGTTTCCGAGGCTGTACATCTTTACTGGGGCAGAAAGGCTCATCTTTCTCCCGTGGAGTGACTGGTGAACTCAAACTACCAACACTGTGGTTCTCAGTTCAGTGCTTACCCTTAGGGAAAAAGAGAAGAAAAAAAAAGGTCCAGAAGAAGTAGACTGTGTGCTCCCAGCATCACAGATAGGAGAGGAGGGTCCACCCAGGCCTTTGACTTCAAAGCGGACACCTCACTGTCCCTCTGGGAGAAGCTTTCAAATGTGTCCTTTGTCTCCAGCTCAGAGATGTTGTTCTAGGAGGAGCTTAGATGTTAGGAGCTAAATGCTGTTGAAGCATATTTGAGAATATTAATATCAGCATGTATGAAAATGTATCAGTAAGTAGTATAAAAAACTATCAAAATTTTCCCGTTCTGTGAGATAATATTTCTTCTGTTCTTGGGTAGTTCATAATAAAGCTTTTCATAGCTACTATCCCTAAAACTCTGAGAAAGTTTTACAAGGTCAAAAGATTTCAAGCACCCATTTGTACAACCCACTTGTTGAACATTCATGGCCAGTGCCTGTTTGCTTTATGACAATTTTCTAGGCCATAAAAATACTCACATTCTTGCTTTTTTAAAAAGCAAAATGTTATTTTTAAAAATGTTCGCATTCTGATACTCCTTATTCTGCCTGAACCAGCTCCATGGTTAAAGAGATACTAAGAGTAACAGAATTTTTCATACTTCACACATAGCTACCTTCGGTTTCTTCAGAGACTCAAGAATTACTCTTGCTGTTTTTGTTTAGAAAAAACCAGAAAGCCAAAAGCTCAAAGTATAGTTATTTATTATCCCCAACAATGAGCGGACTATAGTCTGCCAGTAGAACAGACAAATCTGTCTTGGAAGAAGTAAAGCCAGAACACTCCTGAGATGTGAAGATGGTGAGATTTTGTCTCATGTTCTCCGGGCATTTTGTCTAGAAGGATCAGTCAGTCCCTGGAGAAGGACATCTTGCTTGGTAAAGTGGAGGGACAGTGAAAATGAGGAAGACCCCTAGCACAGTGGTAACAACAATGGACTAAAGCATAACAATTGTAAGGGTGATGCACGACAAGGCAGTGTTTTCATTCCATGTGCTGTGCGGTAGAATCCACTCAAGGCACCTAATCAACAATGGCAATGAGATCTCCTGATCTTCTGGATACACCACAGTGCTTCAGAACACTACGAAATTCAATCACTCATTCATTCTTCCAACACATTCCATCAAAATTCACGGTGACCTCACGTATTAGGCAATAAAACTGTCCATCATCTTTTGTTTTAAAGTATTTATTCTGAACTGAGTACTAGTTTACATGGGAGAACATCGGTTTTACACTCATTGCTTTATTGCAATGATTATAGTCTCCTCTGTGCATCATCATTCAGTATTTGCTTCTATTCCCTCTGTTTTTTTGGAGGTGGATGTACACCAAAACACTCAGGAATACATAATCATTTAAACACCCAAAGGGTACATTCTGCAAGCCTGCCTCCTGCCGCCAGCTCTCAGTCCCTCTCTTTCCATGTGTCTAGAGTCCTCAGCTGCTCTCTCTCCATGTCCTCATCTCTGCCCTTGCTGCTTCTCTGGATAAGGTCCCACATTCCACTTGTGCTCTTCTTCCTTGATGGTCCTAGGGTTCTTCTCTGTTTCTGGATTGTGAGATTAACTACTTCCCCGTTTTTGTTACAAAACTTCTACCTTTACAGTTGTGATGCTCTCCATAGTCTTTATAGAAGCATATCACCAGGCTTTCCTTCCAGGGTGCCACAGGATGGACTTAATCCATCAACCTCTAGGTTTAGTGGTGGTGGTGGTGGTGTGCTGTGGAGTCGGTTCTGACTCATAGAGACCCTGTACAGGGTTTCTGAGGCTGTAAATCTTTACAGAAGCAGAAAACCTCATCTTTCTCCCGTGGGACAGCTGGTAGTTTCGAACTGCTGACCTTGCAGTTCACAACCTGATTCGTAACCATTACACTACCAGAGTTTGAGCCTTCCAGTGATCTTTCAACACCTTTATTAAGTATCTGTTCTATGCTGAGCACAGGCTTCCTGCCACCCCCAGTCTTGTTAGCTGCGATGGAATCAGCCCTTCCATAACTGAACAAATCCATGCTGGATCCTTTTCCATTCCCATGATCCCTTTAGGATCAGACTGTTCTGTTCCATAGGTTTTCACTGGCTGATTTTCAGAAGACCGCCAGACCTTTCTTCTCAGTCTATCTTAGTCTGTATGGAAGTTTTCTGACAAAACTTGTTCAACATGACAACAACACGCAAGCCTCCACTAGCAGAAAACTGGTGACTGAGAATAAGGTACATTGACTGGAATTCAAGCCTAGGTCTCCCACATGGAAGGTGAAAATTCTACCACTAAGCTACCAATGCCCCCAAATCACGTTACCAAGGTGCTATTTCCTAGAGTTAGAAGCTGCCTTCAGAATTACTTGGATTGGTGTTGGTGGCGCGGGGGCAG